ATTCAAAGAACACGTTGACATTGCTAGCAATACTGGTATTGTTAGTGTGTCTGGTCTGACTAGATACATCCCTAAATATGATCCTGGCATGTTGATTCGTTTTCTAAAGAACATGGAACTCTGTCAAGAAATTAATCCATCTTTCCTAACAATGACAAACCTCCATCAGTTAGCAGTGGAAGAGGAGGAGGAGGGAGGGACAGAAAGAAGAGGAGAAAGGTTGTTGTTCTTTCCATGTCTTTTGTCTACTGATAGACCTGATGAGATGACTAGTCAAGTGTACCAGTTTGGTTGGTGTCTACAGTGTACTAGTAAACATCATTTCTTTCCTCCTCGATACTTCCACATCCTCTCATTACGTCTTGCTTACAAAATGGCTCTACCTCAAGAAGATGACAAGTTAAATCGTTACTGTAAATTTTGGAGAAATGGTCTTCACTGGTTTGATGACAATGGTGTAAGAGTATTAGTAGAGATTGTGGATGAGAGCCAGTGTGTACTAGTAATGATGTCTTGTAAGAAAGGTTACAGTGACAATATGGTGTCACTAAGAAGAAATGTAATAGGAGAGGTAATGAGTGCTTATAAAGAATCCTGTCCCAGTCTAGAGGTAAAAGAGTTAGTTATCGATCCTAAAGAACTAGCCTATCCTGTGAATACACTAAGAGAAAGGACAACTTATGGCATATATAATGTACTGTTGGCGATTAAGAAAAGAAAACCATTTCTTGTGAATAATAGAGTACAAACAGAAATGAAGGAGATCCTACCTGATGAATCATTATCAGATATTAGTAACCTGTCACTATTAGGAGGACGTGATATTAAGGTAAGAATTAACACACACAAACTATTTGATACATTAATACAAGCAGTCAAGCACTAATAATCAAAAGATATATATCCATTGTGATTTCATGATATCAGCCACTGTAATGTATGGAGGGCTCATGACAGTAAGTGTAAAGCATTTGGTCAACATTGTAGGCTAGTTTTGTCTTTAAAAATGAAACTTCAATGATAATGTTGTCATACTGAAAGTAAACAGTACCTCTAAAATATCATCAACAGTAAACCATCAGTATAACGTAAGCCTACTATTTTTAGCGTCTACTAAATTTAGCTATATTAGCAAGAGAGCTTTAAATCGCTAATTTAAATAGACGCCAAAATAATTATTATTCATTACAATGGTTATTATTTATAGTTAATTTGGTTAAAAACGCTAAAATTAGTAACGCTAAACATAATTTTTGCTGATTTCGCTAAAATTAGTAAATGCAAATAATAGTAGGCTTAAGGTAACTGATAGCAGGACCATGTCAAAAGGTTACATCTCGAAAGTAATTCAGTCTTTGTCATAATTGTGGGTTGTCATTTAGCAATAGACTACTGATGTATATCACCTTGATAAACAAGCACAGTGACAAAAATCTATTATCATTATTATTATTATTATTATTATTATGATAAAGACACAAAACAGGCAAAAGGGGGACAAAAAGGGAGGACCCTGTACCAATATTATCATTACTATTATTATTATTGTATAGGAAGTGATTGAAATAACTGAAGAATTCAAGACACCATTAGCTGCAGTAAAGCTAGGTATGTTATATACATAACATATACATTATACATTATATATATAACATATATGTATATAGCATGTACTATCACATTTGTCAAGTAGGGGAGTGTAGACTGTACAGTGTATATACACATTATTGGGGGCGAACAAAAACGAGAGCCACTAAGACGAGTATGTAACTGTGAGTATGTACTCATGTGAGTATGTACTATGTGAGTATGTACTCTAACTATTATTAAACTTAAATAACCTAATATTCCTTGAATGTGGGTGTGGTCACATGAAAAATGGCAGCTATGCTGCTGTCCATAAGTCTTCTCTAGCAAAAAGAAAGGTTAGGAAAGCAGATATACAATCTTTTTCTTAATATGAAAGACTCTGATAAGTTGAATGGAAGTGAGAAAGCTGCATGTGTAGCTACATGTTAGCTGCATGCATAACTGATCATGAGATCTATTCTAGGTGCTGTTTCTTCTCTAGTAGCAAGCCTAGGTTATATACAATCTTCTTCAAACATGAGTTATTGCTGCAGAGATCATCTTAAGTGATAAAATGATAAAGGCTGTATTTAGACTTGTGAAATTGCTTTTCTTGCTCTAGATCTATACATGTAGACCATACAGCACATAATCTATAGGTTGCTTAGTCTTTTGACTACATCAATGTCAAAAACATTGTATATTGCTAATCAAAATGTTAATCGTTTTGCTTGCCCCTTAACATTTTACATTCGACTAGTTAATTATTATTTTTATAGATATTAAAGATCTTGATATTGTCATTAAAGAATTAACATCAGATCAACACTTGCCCTGTTCTGTATGGCACAGACTAGGTCTACAGTTAGGATTATATGATCCTAGACTAGTGGATATAGACAAGAAGAATAGAGGAGATCCAGTGGAGTGCTTCCGTGAGTGCATGTCTGCCTGGTTAAGAGGAGAAGATAAAGTGATAGAGAAAGAAGGTCCCAGTTGGTCATCATTAGCTACAGCACTGGATACAATAGAAGAGAAATCTATTGCTAGTTACATTAGAAAAAAATATTGTACAGCAAAATAGCTGATTGATTAGTTTAAA